ATTTGATAATGGTCCCGCAAGCATGCTCATATCCCCCGTCAAAAGGAAATTCTTTGGGCGTCAGACGTGTGGCGCTCGAGTTACCATCTCTCTTCCCCGTAATAACCTCCTGGAAGGAGAGCGGACCAGTAGAAGTGCCCGGAAGGGGCCCGACTGTAGCAGGATAGGCCGTGGAGTCGCCCATTGGCGTAGTCACTTTCAAGGAGGGTCCGACAAGGTGGGCTTCATACGCCATATTTGGAGCTGTAACAATCACTCCATCTTCACAAACATATAGAACATCAGAGACAGAAAATCCAGCGGCAAGTGGGTTTGCTCTGGCGAGGTGATTAGACGGGGAGGGAGGATTAGGCCGAGGGCCGAGGTTTTCAGTTTTAGACATCAACTCCGGCCAGGCCCCGAGTAGATTTTTGGTCAGGTGAGCAACTCTAGTTGTCGTGACGGTGTTGGCGCCGACGTATGGAAGGTGGCCGACACTAACTAGTTGAGTGTTGCCGGCTGCAGGAGCGGAGAGCGCGTCTCTCTGATGATTGGGCTGGGATTCTGGTAATTTTGGTAAGAGGAATGTGGGTTGGGCTGTGCTGAGGTAAGAGGGTTGATGGATGGGATTTTGAAAGTGGATTGTGGGTTGGGTTTTTAAGTTGGGATGATTTGGGCTGGGAGTGTTAAAGAAGGGGGCTCAAGGGGGAGTGGGCCTGAGGAGATTTAGTGGTGATTGTGGCCTGCGGACCCTGGAGAGAGGGTATAGGGCTGGGCCTTGAAGGTTGGTTGAGGTGGGTCGGACGAACCGGGGCATTGGGCCTAAGAGAGAGTTTTTAGCCCAAGTTCTTTCCCCTTAGCTCAGAAATGGCCACATGTCCAAACCGTAGCCGGGAGGACTGTTGACCCATCTGCAGGGAGGAGGAGCTGCGACTAACATCTTCTCCGACAAGGTAACTTCTGTCAATGGCCCGTATGACCCAAAGATGAGAGACGAACAACTTCCAGTTGTTGTATTCTCCGGCGCAATCTCGACGTGATTTTTCCCCTTTTCCGCCACTGTTTCTCCATCTGCTATATTTTTGCTTTCTCCTTCTTC